TCCACTTCTTTCCATGGCTCTGTCTGAAGTAGAGGCTGGGAATTTGCCCTTTATGGGAGTTGTGAAAATAGTAGTGCGCTTATTGCTGGCATGAGCTTGGTGCCCATTGTTTTAAGGCCAAGCTCACGTTTCTTTGGAAGTAAAGTTCCCTCAAAAATTCTTGTTTCTAGTTCCACCTGTTAGGAATCACAATCAAGCACTTCTCTAGACCAAATCTCAAAGTATGCTTTCATCATCACAGGACCCTGCCTCTTTAGTGGAGGCTACCTTGAGACCAACTGAAAAGAAGACTGCACTGGGAATGCTAACACCCAGATGATCACTGCAGGGATGGATCCCTTTGTTTGGCTTACCATGTGACAGAGAGGTCTTGCTGGGCTTCCCCCTCAGCCTCCCACAGCTCAGAAAGAAAACAGACCTTTTTTTGGTATAGAAGGGTACAGAAGCATTACCTTTCTAATCCTTTGAGGTTCCTAATATCTGATGTTTCTCTATTCCATCTCCACTTGGGAGACTGGTCAATTCTTTCTTGTGATGCCTTGCTAAAAACATCAAGGACCAGGCAATTCATTCAAAGTCATTCTGACTTTTCCAACTGCTACCCATGGAACTATCAGCTCAGTAGGTGACAAAATATTACCTGAAATGCAAGTCCCAGCTGTTTGTCATGTGAATTAGGTAAGCCAATGCTAAACATTGTTTTCCTTATGACAGTATCTCACTTCAGGCTATCAATTTCTACATTAGAAATATAGATGGTAAACAGTGTGCACAGGGACTGTGTCTAGCTTCTGACATAGACTCTCTCCGTGACCAAACTTTAACCAGCCTCTTCTGAGCCTTCTTTTCGACTAGACCTCAGAGGCCCTTCTCTGGCCTGACTGCCAGTTTTCCAAAGAATCCTGCTAAGTCGGTTTAGAAGGAATTCCCTCACTCTCAGCATCTGATCACCCTGGTTTTCCAGGGTTAAATCAGTTTAGCAAGCATCCCCTACCCTTGATGTCTCCTTAGTAATTTTCCCTCTCCCCCGATTTTGCTCACTGACTTTAAATCCCAGCTGTCTTTGCTGTATTTGGAGTTGAGCGAAGTATCTCTCCTCCACTGTGACAGTCTTTGGCACCTATTGTAGTAGCTAGAATAAGGTCTTCCTCACTGTTTTAACAAGTGTCAGAATAATTTTTTCTTTAATACTTCTAGTCTAAATGCTGGTGGAATGATTGGCAGGAAAATCAGCACACCTCTTTCCTCAACCACCTCTCCCCCAGTAGGACCTCCCTCAATACTGATAATAGCATTCCATTCAGAATTTGTCCTCTTTATATTCCCTTTGGACTTTATTTATAGCCGATTAACTATATAGATCACAATCCCTTATGTGGAATTCTGGGGACCAGATGTTTCAGAATTTGGAATTTTTCAGATTACATAAAGAATTATGAATATGGTTTGGGACAGCACCTGTAATCAAATACATTAAGATTTTTGTAACAAATATATGAATTTAATACTAAGTATGATAAAGGCCTGTCAGGGAGGTCAGGTTTGGCTGCTAAATGAATTTTTGTGTCAAACATGAAAACACTTTAGCTTTTCACAGATTTTTTGTTCTTTGCAACAAAAATTTTTGCAGAAAAGTTACCAAAATCATCTAAGCATAGAACCCCCACTAGTTTATAATGTCACATTTCTATTCCTGTCCATTACTCTTCCCCTTTGAGCGTGTCCTTCTTCCAAAAGAAAAATGAGAGGTGAATTATAGAATCCAAAATTAACTTTGTGGTCCAAAGCAAAGCAAAACTATCTTAATTCTGAAGAAAGTAAAACCTTTCTTCACTTTCCCTGGTCAGTTTTTCCCTCTGGAGTTAACACCCTCTAGTGGTTTTCAGGCAGATATTTCTTCATTCCTGAAACAATCAAAATTACCAGCGAAGACCAAGAGATTACTTTAGTTAAGACCGTTTGCAAATCATGAAGGAACAGAAAATGTGATCACATTCAAGTTTATTTAAGAATTGGTAGAGAGAATGACTTAACAGCCTTTTAACTACTCTGGCTGAAAAACAAAACTGTAGTTTATTTCTCTTAAATCATAGAGACTTCATGGCATTTAAACACAAATTTACCATAACAAGAACTTTAGGTTGGCCTTAGGATTGAATTTACCTTATAATGGAGGTGGATGGGGAGGAGTGATGACAGAAGCTAAAGTATTACATCAAATCACTTGTATAATGTATTTACTGTATTTTAGATTTTATGTATTATTTTTTTTTTAAGATTTTATTTATTTATTTATTTGAGAGAGAGAATGAGATAGAGAGAGCATGAGAGTGGGGAGGGTCAGGGGGAGAAGCAGACTCCCTGCTGAGCAGGGAGCCCGATGCGGGACTCGATGCGGGACTCGATCCAGGGACTCCAGGATCATGACCTGAGCCGAAGGCAGTCGCTTAACCAACTGAGCCACCCAGGCGCCCCAGATTTTATGTATTATTTATAGATGGCTTACCAAATGTTTAAGTTATCAAAACTTGAGGATATTCCCAAATTTTACAAAGAACATAAAAGTGTATTCACTGAACAAAAACCAACTATGTGGTAAGATACTATGCTAGGTGTTAAAAGATCCAATCATCCTATTGCCTACCTTCCCTAAAACTACCATTGCTCCTCCATGCATTTGCATTTCCAGAGACAAACTCCAAATGCATTCTCAAATACATTTTCTCTCTCATCAGCCTACGTCATCTGACATGTCAGATTAAGGATTTTCTTTTCGAAACTCCTCACAGCTGTCATACTATGAGAATGCATGGGAGCTAAAATTTGGGATGAGATTATTAAAATTTATGTAGAAATGCTATTATTCATTTACATAAGAGACTGAAGTAGTTATCTGATATGAGCCATGTGATAGTTCATCCCTAAATCCTGCTAAAGTCAAAACATAGTCACAATACTATAAAAAACCATTTCTGGATTACTGTTCTAAATTTCTAAGATACATTAAATTCACTGCTAGTGGTTAATTGTAACATAGAGGCAGTTCCATCCTGTGTCTCTCGCAAATGTGGCCTGACACTTCAAAAAGGCTGCTGATCCTAGTAATATGTGTCTTCCTAGAGAAGCGATGAATGGAAGCGAGGCTATCTTAAAAAGATACTGAAGAAAAAGGAAGCTCATTAGCCTGGTCAAGTTGAAAAGCCTTCTAAAAAGGCCAACTAAAATAAAAGCAAAATACACTTCTTTTTCTCCTTTATTAGAGAAAAGGATAAAATTTAAGTCATTTTAAACAAAGTCAGAATAGGGTGGTAAAAGGAAAAAGCCATCTTGTTATCAAGGAAGACTCTATGCTTTATCGACTGCATGGATCTAGCACACATATTTACATAAAAGTTTAAGTTTTGGTTAAACCTATCAGCCGTAATACACCCACAGCGGGTATCCCCACAGGAAGGAGCAGGGAGCTGGCAAAACGGGTTGCCCAGATTCTACCACTGCAAGCTCATGGAGTTTAACCACTCACTCACCTTAAAATGAATCTGCAACCAAGAAAGTAAAAAAAGCTTTAATAAATCTTTAGGAAAAAATGTTCACATACAAGACACTTGTCAGGCAAGAAGGTTTCCATAAAATTAAGGATTTCTCTCCTGAAGTAGTTTACTTTCAGAAACATTCTCCTCTAGAATCACTCAATATGTCTAGTTCATTGGGAATGTTCCAAATACAAAGCAAGAAAGGGAGTCCTTGCAAGATGTGTCAAGTTTGGTTAGTATTAAATAAACACAAACTATGGTTAACTGTTAAGATTTTCCACCACCAGTTTATGAAAGTCAGTACACGGCAATGAGAATAAAGCACTTATTTTCAATTCACTCTCTGAGATAAGGAGTGAATAGTATTACTGGCTTATTTGTCTTAACTTTAGTAAGAAGAGAAGTGAGAGTCTCATTTTCCTTATACGTGCGCTCTGTCTGACTGGGGAGCGGGCCATGTGGGAACTGAGTCGGAGCTTGCCGAGGGTTGGGTTGTATATGTACATGAAGAAATCCAAAATATTACCCAACTAGTGTAAAGTTCCCTCGATAGTTAGTATTAAAGTAGTTCCATGGTCTCAAAGATTCGGATCCCCTTGCGAAGGGCCTAACCTGTTACCCAAACATAAAAAGTTCTTAAAATATTTTAAATGGAATGACACAGCTCCACTCTAATGTAGTTCTGTGATTTCTGGTAACTACTTTAAAAAGAGGAGCAATATCTACTACCTACCTTAGAGGCAGCTTTGAAGCTAGATAACAGCCTTAAAATAGATTTGAATTTGTCAGGAAAAAAGCAAGATAAAAATACAAAGCAGGATGACTGATACCTATTCGCTATTAGAATCTCTTAATGACCAGAAAAAAGAAAATAATTTAAAGCTCCCCCCTCAATAATTTACCTTTTAAAGAGGGTATAGTTTGAGGAAGGAAAAATGTTTAAATTTTCTTTTCTTTCTTTCTTTTTTTTTTTTTTTAAAGATTTTATTTATTTATTCATGAGAGACAGAGAGAAAGAGAGAGGCAGAGGCAGAGGGAGAAGCAGGGTCCCTGCGGAGCAGGGAGCCCGATGCGGGACTCCATCCCAGGACCCTGGGACCATGACCTGAGCAGAAGGCAGATGCTTAACCGACTGAGCCACCCAGGCGCCCCTAAATTTTATTTTCAAGAGCAGTGTATGCATAAGCAATCTTCTGAGTAGGGTAAGCCGTTCTGGCATAAAACAATTATAAAGGCTTAAAAAGTCTCTGTACACCATTATATTTTGATGAACCTATTATCTTTGCATTCAAATGTAAAATATGCTGCACTATTAACCAGTGATTCTATGAATGACACCTAAGACTTTTCTGTTTTGTTGACCTGTCAACAAAGCACCTCTTCAAAGGAATCTGTAATTTAAGTGAACAACAACAGACCCTAACTGTAATTTGACACAACCAGGCAAATGGGGGCCACATACAACACTTTCAACTGTGGACAGAATCAAACAACCATACAGCAACTTTATTGTGTTTAGCTCTGAACAACAGAACGCACTCTCATTTTTATTATAGAACTACCGTTACAGCGTCATAGAGCCATTTAAGAGGAATTTCTAGTAACTGATTTTCCAACAGCAGGAAAGCTGCTGCGTATTATTTTGCTCTGTACAAACCAAAACTTTCTCCAACTTTTAAAACTTGGTAACTTCTAATGATAGTAATCTCTTAAATCGGATAAGTAACGTGCCACTCCTTTATTCTAAATTTAAAGACCAGGTAACTTCAAAGTTTTTTGTTTTTTTTTTTTCCTGAAAAGAAAGACTAAAATAAATGTCTGAAAGAATAACATTGCTAGATATTAGAAACGTGCAGGTTGACTCAAGTTCGGCTCTAGCACACTGATGTTAGAATGCCAAATATCTCGCTCAGGAATTAAAAATACTTGAATAGAGTTTATTCCTTTCGTACTCTTCTCTTGCGTACGGACTTCACTGGCCCATCTCCAGATCCCGTGCTCTCATCCGCTTCTTTCATCTAGAACAAAGAATGATGCAGACGGTTGTTTTCATACAATGGGTAAATACTAAATTTCTTATTCTCAAAAATACATGTTCTAACAAATGCTACCTTATATGTGTTCTTTAATTCATGAAGCTGATCAAAAATGTGTACTTAAGTTAACATGTTTTAATTTGTTCACCCTTTGGCATGATTACATTTTTGGAATAACTCTGCTTATCAAAGTCCTCTGACAAGGAATACTGCTAACAACTCAATTCATGATTTTATCATTTGGAATTTAATCTCAATGTCATAGCTAATTAAAGGCTACATGATCTTTTCATTGTGGGATATTAAGCACTAACTTCATCACAATAGTTCTAAAAGTAATGGACTGCTGAGTTGGATTCGCAGAAACTTTTTCAGAACTTATGACACACAGTACTTTGAGAAAATTAGGAGAGAGGGAAGGGAAACATCAAATTTATAGTCTGGGTTTTTTCTTTCCTTATCCCATAAGCACTCACATGTAAATTAAACTTGTGTAACAAAATAAAATAATGAAGGTATTATATGGTATTATACAAAATAGTTATAATTATTTTTCAAGGTCATACTATATAAAAATTGGCTTATTTTAGCCCGCTGACATATAAGAAGACTAAAAGACAAAGACAGAATTAAAATATTTTTAAAGGTACATAAAATGTTTTGTAAAGCAAAATATAACCAGACACATATTCAACTGAATGACTGTAAGTATTGTTATTCAGAGTGACAGGTGAGACAATGACTGTTTAAAACTCTGTCCTGGAAGAAATTATCTTCACCCAGCTTCCTCTAATGTGGATATTCATACTAATGTTCCCCCAAAGTCCCTTTAAGAACTCACAAGGCATTAAGACCAGTACCTAAGTATAGGTACTGAATAGGCTTTAGAAAACAAACAATAACAATAAAACAAATTTATGTGAGAGATTTCTTCAGAGAGACAAAACAGCAAGGTTACATCATCATATGCAAGAGGCCAGGTGAAACTGTGATTTTCCCCTGCCTAGCACTGCCTAGAGGGTGCTGAGTAGGGTGACTGGGGTAAGGTCACATAGCTCCTAAGGCTAGCAGATAAAACATGCTGGGTAAAAAGAGAAAGCTCTGGTTCTGAATCATATCCTGGATGGCATCTGGTTCCAGAATAACAGACTAAAAAGAGGCACTGTAGAAAGTTCTGTTATATATCAGGATGCAGAAAGGGGTAGACATATCAAGTTAATGGGAAAACTAGTTTATTAAAGATTTCAGGAAAAAACACCCTATCAGGCAGATACTACTCAACTACCCAATGAATGAAATATTACAAAATATGACAATAAATTATTCAGACCATGGGAATGTTTTTATAATGGGTATAAAGAACACTGTCTTGTAATAAACAGAATTACCTTTTAAATATTCAAATGGTCTATTTATAATAATTTTCAACAGACTAACAAAGTCATAATTTTTTACAGATGCAACTCTATTTTGCAAAACCCAGGCTACTTTATACTGTTTCTCATCAGGCATTAAGATGATATAAATTATAGTATTTTCTTACCTTCTTTATGGATACATTTTAAAAACAATATGGAGACTCTTATGAAAGCTTGGAGAAATATGGCCAATTTTTGTACAGTAGGACCTTGAAAAAATTCTCTATAAACCAGACTGCTTTGTTAAAATAATTTTTATGGATAACAATCGTACATAAAATCTAGTTTATTTTCTGTTAAAGAGTTGCTTACCTCATCCTCTGATCCAGACTTATTTGATTTATTACCCTCTTCTTGTCCTTCTATAATTTCAATTTCTTTTTCACTCTTTTCCTCAGGTTCACCTTCCTCTTCTAGAATACAGATTTTTATTACAGGCAAAGACCTGAATTAGAATTTTGCTACTGAGAAGTATTAAATACAACAAGGGGATTTATTTAAATTCCAATATTTAAAAGCAATTTCTATCATGAGAAATTTCTAAAAAATTAATTGCAAATATTATTTTACAACATTTTATACATAAATCATCATATTTGAGGGAAGAGAGGTTTAAGAAATTCTTAAGCATTCAGTCTACATGTAATGAAAAGCAAATATATATGTGTTATGCGTATACATATGGACACATACATATGTAAATATACATCTGTGTGTATTTTTTTGAGAGTATAATTTTTAAGTCAACTGTTTCATCAATTATTAAGTTAAAAACAGTGCTCAAGACATAATTTAAGTTGTAAGGGGCTCAGTCTGGAGCCTGACTTGAGACACCTGGCAAATATTGACAGTTTATTAATACCTAGATGAGTGTAAGCAAGTCTCAATGGAGACCCACTAAAAAGCCTCAGTTCTTCAGTTCGAACATGTTGATGAGTTTAGTATAGGGTGGGAAGGGGACATATGACGCAGCAGTCCTTTCGGGCCATTAAATTATTCTTTCAATATGATAAACTATCTGATGAACAACAGCCTTTTACTAAAAGACTGGGTGCGAATTTTAAACCTATTCCTCTCCTATAGAGGCTGTGCTGTCTGGCCTCCCATCTCATCTACATTCTTGTGGACAAGAAAAGCCCCTGCAAACAGCTACGACACATGGAGTTCACACCTGCTCTTAAACCTCTCTCTTCCTAGAAAACAAGAACTGTAAGCAGGACGACCGCTCAGGGTACAGCATCCAGGCAGGGGCCATTACTCCCCTCTGCCACGGTCATGGACTCATGGGGATTCAGATGGTAGATATTTGACAATAATCAAGTGCAACAGCTAGTGTTTACCAGATCATGTGCTCTTTTTAGGAGCTTTGCCCAGGGTCCCCACTGTAACTCACTATCACTATCCTACCTTTGGCTGGCTACCTACCTACCTGTCATTATCTTACCTTTTTCAGGAGTTTCAAGAGTTTCACCATCACTTTGCTTCTTTTCTTCTTCCAAATCTACTGGTTTCTCCAGGGCAGCTTTCTTTTCCTTCACTTCTTGCTCTAGTGCTCCCTTTGTTTGTGGTTTACATATGTCAGTTTTTTTATACTCTGAATCTTCATATTTTTTCTGTGGTAGTTTAACATAAGCTATTTTTAGTAAAAGCAAAGCTCTATTTTTTAAGTTTTGGGTTTTTTTTTTTTTTTGCAATAACTGATATCAAACACAGTGAATCAGCAATAAAAACTTATAGGAAATTTAGCTTATGGCTTTTAAGAAGCACTTGCTCAGACCTATCCACAGAGACCTGGCAGGCCAGAAAAGACTGACATGACATATTCAGGGTGCTAAATGAGAAAAATATGCACCTAAGAATACTTTAAACAGCAAGGATGTCTTTCAAAATAGGAGGAGAGATAAGTTTCCAGGACAAACAGAAAGTAAAAGAATTTGTGATCACCAAACCAGCCCTACAAGAAATACTGAAAGGGGTCCTCTAAGCAAAGAGAGAGCCTAAAAGCAACACAGACCAGAAAGGAACACAGACAATATACAGTAACAGTCACCTTACAGGCAATACAATGGCACTAAATTCATATCTTTCAATAGTTACCCTGAATGTAAATGGGCTAAATACCCCAATCAAAAGACACAGGGTATCAGACTGGATTAAAAAACAAGACCCAACAATATGCTGTCTGCAAGAGACTCATTTTAGACGCAAAGACACCTCCAGATTGAAAGTGAGGGGGTGGAAAATCAATTTTCATGCTAATGGACATCAAAAGAAAGCTGGGGTGGCAATCCTTATAACAGACAAATTAGATTTTATTTTTTTTAAGATTTTATTTATTTATTTGACAGAGAGAGAACCCAAGCAGGGGAAGCGGCAGAGGGAGAGGGAGAAGCAGACTCCCTGTTGAGCAGGGAGCCTGACATGGGGCTCAATCCCAGGACCCTGGGATCACAACCTGAGCTGAAGGCAAACACTTAACCGACTGAGCCACCCAGGCACCCCGACAAATTAGATTTGAAACCGAAGACTGTAATAAGAGATGAGGAAGGACACTATATCATAATTAAAGGGTCTATCCAACAAGAAGATCTAACAATTGTAAATACTTATGCCCCTAACATGGGGGGCAGCCAATTATGTAAGCCAATTAATAACAAAATCAAAGAAACACATCGATAATAATCCAATAATAGTAGGGGACTTAAACATCCCACTCACTGCAGTGGACAGATCATCTAAGCAGAAAATCAACAAGGAAACAAGGACTTTTAATGACACACTGGACCAGATGGACTTCACAGATATATTCAGAGCATTCCACCCTAAAGCAATAGAGTACACATTCGTCTTGATTGCACATGGAACATTCTCCAAAATAGATCACATGCTGGGTCACAAATCAGGTCTCAACCATTACCAAAAGATTGAGATTATTCCCTGCATATTATCAGACCACAATGCTTTGAAACTGGAACTCAATCACAAGAGGAAATTTGGAAAGAACTCAAATACCTGGAGACTAAAGAGCATCCTACTAAAGAATGAATGGGCCAACCATGAAATTAAAGAAGGATTTTAAAAAATTCATGGAAACAGGGGCACCTGGGTGGCTCAGTCATTAAGCGTCTGCTTTCGGCTCAGGTCATGATCCCAGAGTCCTGGGATTGAGCCTCACATCGGGTTCCCTGCTCGGCGGGAAGCCTGCTTCTCCCTCTCCCACTCCCCCTGCTTGTGTTCCTTCTCTTGCTGTATCTCTCTGTCAAATAAATAAATAAAATCTTTAAAAAAAAATTCATGGAAACAAATGAAAATGAAAACACAAATGTTCAAAACCTTCAGAATGCAGCAAAGGTGGTCCTAAGAGGGAAGTATATAGCACTACAAGCCTTTCTCAAGAAACAAGAAAGGTCTCAAATACACAACCTTACCTTATACCTAAAGGAGCTGGAGAAAGAACAGCAAATAAAGCATAAACCCAGGAGAAGAAGAGCATTAATAAAGATTAGAGAAGAAATCAATGGAATAGAAACAAAAAGAATAGTAGAACAGATCAACGAAACTAGGAGCTGGTTCTTTGAAAGAATTACTAAGATTGGGCACCTGGGTGGCTCAGTCAGTTAAGTGTCTGCCTTCGGCTGAGGTCATAATCCCAGGGTCCTGGGATCAAGCCGGGCGTTGAGCTCCCTGCTCAGTGGGGAGTCTGCTTCTCCCTCTCCCCCTCCACCCCACTCATGCTCTCTCTCTTGCTCACTCTCTCTGTCTCAAATAAATAAAATAAAATAAATTAAATTAAATTTTAAAAATTAAACAAAAGATTGATAAACCCCTGGCCAAACTTATCAAAAAGAAAAGAGAAAGGACCCAAATAAATAAAATCATGAATGAAAGAGGAGAGATCACAAACAACACCAAAGAAATACAAACAATTATAAGAACATATTAGGAGTAAATATATGCCAACAAATTAAGCAATCTGGAAGAAATCGGATGCATTCCTAGAGATGTGTAAACTACCAAAACAGAAACAGGAAGAAATAGAAAACCTGAACAGACCCATAACCAGCAAGAAAATTGAAGCAGTAATCAAAAATCTCCGAACAAACAAAAGTCCAGGGCCAGAAGTCTTCCCAGGAGAATTCTACCAAACATTTAAGGAATTAATACCTATTCTTCTGAAGCTGTTTCAAAAAAATAAAAATGGAAGGAAAACTTCCAAACTCTTTCTCTGAGGCCAGCGTTACTTTGATCCCAAAACCAGACAAAGACCCCACCAAAAAGTAGAGTTACAGACCAATATCCCTGATGAACAAGGATGCAAAAATTCTCACTAAAATACTAGCCAATAGGATCAAACAGTACATTAAAAGGATTATTCACCATGACCAAGTGGGATTTATTCCTGGGCTGCAAGGCTGGTTCAACATCCACAAATCAATCAATGTGATACAATACATTAACAAAAGAAAGACCAAGAATCATATGATCCTCTCAATAGATGCAGAAAAAGCTTTTGACAAAGTACAGCATCATTTCTTGATTAAAACTCTTTACAGTGTAGGGATAGAGGGAACATAGCTCAATATCATAAAAGCCATATATGAAAAGCCCACAGCAAGTTTCATTCTCAATGGGGAAAAACTGAGAGCCTTTCCCCTAAGGTCAGGAACATGGAATGGATGTCCACTATCACCACTGCTATTCAATATAGTACTAGAAATCCTAGCCTCAGCAATCGAAAAACAAAAAGAAATAAAAGGCATCTGAATTGGCAAAGAAGTCGAACTCTCACTCTTCACAGATGACATGATACTCTATGTGGAAAACCCAGAAGACTCCACCCCGAAATTGCTAGAACTCATATAGGAATTCAGCAAAGTGGCAGGATATAAAATCACTGCACAGAAATCAGCTACATTTCTTTTTTTTTTTTCTTGAAGATTTTATTTATTTGACAGAGAGAGACACAGCGAGAGAGGGAACACAAGCAGGGGGAGTGGGAGAGGGAGAAGCAGGCTTCCCACCGAGCAGGGAGCCCGATGCGGGGCTCGATCCCAGAACCCTGGGATCATGACCTGAGCCAAAGGCAGACGCTTAACAACTGAGCCACCCAGGCACCCCCAGTTACATTTCTATACACTAACAATGAGACAGAAGAAAGAGAAATTAAGGAGTCGATCCCATTTACAATTGCACCCAAAACCATAAGATACCTAGGAATAAAGCTAACCAAAGACACAACGGATCTGTACTCAGAAAACTAGAGACCACGCATGAAAGAAACTGAGGAAGACACAAAGAAATGCGGAAACATTCCATGCTCATGGATTGGAAGAACAAATATTGTTAAAATGTCTATGCTACCTAGAGCAATCTATACATTCAATGCAATCCCAATCAAAATACCATCAACTTTTTTCACACAGCTGGGACAAATAATCCTAAAATTTGTATGGAATCAGAAAAGACCCCGAGGGTGCCTGGGTGGCTCAGTTGGTTAAGCGACTGCCTTCGGCTCAGGTCATGATCCTGGAGTCCCGGGATCGAGTCCCGCATCGGGCTCCCTGCTCGACAGGGAGTCTGCTTCTTCCTCTGACCCTCCCCCCCTCATGTGCTCTCTCTCATTCTCTCTCTCTCAAATAAATAAATAAAATCTTTAAAAAATAAAAAAAAAAAAAAAAAAAAAGAAAAGACCCCGAATAGCCAAAAGATTGTTGAAAAAGAAAACCAAAGCAGGTGGCATCACAATTCCGGCCTTCAAGCCCTATTACAAAGCTGTAATCATCAAGACAGAATGGTACTGGCACAAAAACAGACACATAAATCAATGGAACAGAACAGAGAACCCGGAAATGGACCCTCAACTCTATGGTCAACTCATCTTCGACAAAGCAGGAGAGAATATCCAATGGGAAAAAAGACAGTCTCTTCGGGCGCCTGAGTGGCTCAGTCGTTAAGCATCTGCCTTTGGCTCAGGTCATGATCCCAGGGTCCTGGGATTGATCCCCACATCAGGCTCCCTGCCCAGCGGGAAGCCTGCTTCTCCCTCTTCCACTCCCCCTGCTTGTGTTCCCTCTCTCACTGTGTCTCTCTCTGTCAAATAAATAAAATCTTTAAAAAAAAAAAATCTCTTCAACAAATGGTGTTGGGAAAATTGCAGAAGAATGAAACTGGACCATTTCCTTACACCATACACAAAAATAGACTCAAAATGGATGAAAGACCTAAATGTGAGATAGGAATCCATCAAAATCCTAGAGGAGAACACAGACAGCAACCTGTGTGACCTTGGCCGCAGCAACTTCTTGCTAGACATGTCCCCAAAGGCAAGGGAAGCAAGGACAAAAATGAACTATTGGGACTTCATCAAGATAAAAAGCTTTTGCACAGCAAAATAAACAGTCGACAAAACCAAAAGACAACCAACAGAATGGGAGAAGATATTTGCAAATGACATATCAGATAAAGGGCTAGTATCCAAAATCTATAAAGAACTTGTCAAACTCAACACCCAAAGAACAAATCATCCAATCAAGAAATGGGCAAAAGGCATGAGCAGACATTTCTCCAAAGAAGACATCCCAATGGCCAACAGACACATGAAAAAATGTTCAACATTACTCGGCATCTGGAAAATACAAATCCCAAAACCACAATGAGATACTATGTCACACCAGTCAGAACGGCTAAAATTAACAAGTCAGGAAATAATAGATGTTGGCAAGGATGCAGAGAAAGGGGAACCATCCTACACTGTGGGTGGGAACACATGCTGGTGCAGCCACTTGCCACTGGAAAACAGTATGGAGATTCCTCAAAAAGTTGAAAATAGAGCTACCCTATGACCCAGCAATTGCACTGGCTATTTACCCCAAAGATACAAATGTAGTGATCTGAAGGGGCACCTGCACCCCAATGTTTATAGCAGCAATGTCCACAACAGCAAAACTATGGAAAGAGCCCAGATGTCCATCGACAAGTAAATGGATAAAGAAGATATATATACACACACACACACAATGGAATACTACTCAGCCATCAAAAAATGAAATCTGGCCATTTGCAATGACATGGATTTTACTAGAGGGTATTATGCTAAGCGAAATAAGTCAATCAGAGAAAGACAATTATCATATGATCTTACTGATATGTGGAATTGAAGAAACAATGCAGAGGATCATAGAGGAAGAGAAGAAAAAATAAAACAAGATGAAATCAGAGAGGGAGACAAACCATAAGAGACTCTTAATCATAGGAAACTAACTAAGGGTTGCTGGAGGGGTAGGGGGTAGAGGGATGGGTTTACTGGCTGATGGACATGAAGGAGGTCACATGATGTAATGAGCACTGGGAATTATATACGACAGATGAGTCACTAACCTCTACCTCTGAAACTAATATATATTATATATTAACGGAATTTAAATTAAAAAAAAAAAAGAATCACTTGCTCAATAGAACTCCTAAACACTAACAGACTTATTTTAAGTTGAAGGAAATTCAATTTCTTTACCTTGAATTTTCTTGGCCAACAAAATGAAGCAATTAATGCTATTGGAAGCCCTGCAGTCACAAGATAAATGAGCCAAAGCCATGGGCGCTCTTCAGCAGCTACCACTAACTGTTTAAATATACCAGGCTATAGAAGAATAAGCATAAAAATGAAATTCAGATTTTATAAACATTTTTTAGGAAATACCACCTACAAAAAAACAGCTTATTTTAGATAAGTGTTTTATATTAAGGAGTGATGAACTTGTAGGCTAAAAATATTTTATTTTCCCATCTTATCCACTGTAGAGTTTAAACTCTATTAGCATGTATCATTGTTTGAGACTTTGTAGTAGAAGATATGTTACTACATAGGTAGAAATCACTAACCTATCACCAAGAATTATGACAATTTTATTTTTTTGGTAAGGTTAAGGATAGAACTACTCTTTATGGATGTATTATCTTCTTCATTTAGAAGTATAAATGCTCGATAACTCATTTTGGTTCTGTATTTTAAAGAACCTGGGAACTACTGTGTTTTCTTTTTTTTATTAACAAATTTCACACACAACCTGTGTGAGGAAACAGCTTCTCTCATTAAAATGAAATCTAAAATCATTAAATGTCTAAATTTAAAAAGTTTCAAAATGAAAACCCCTTTACCTAATCTTTTGATAGTTTTTGCTAATGTCCAAAGAAACCAAATGTAAGGTATTTTCCTTTACAGTAATTGATTTTAAAGATACATTCTCCAAGATGCATTGTGTTGAAATATTTAGCTTAGTATTTCTAAACAGTGTTAAGATTTGAGTAAAAAAATACTGGAACACAATTTAATAATAATAAATTTTAAAATCCTCTGTACTCCTCTAAGTGAAAAATAATTAAAATGAGTAAAGAATAATATTTACATTACTGTTAACCACTTAAGCTGTGAATTAACAAGGTGACCAGGATATTAAGTAGTCTCCTTATAAATAGCAAGTAGGCAATTAAATCCCATTATGCTATCATAATTTAATGAAGACATACACATATATATAGTTCATTATACAGTTCATGATGAAGTTGTACCATAATATAGTAAGGCTAAATATTTTATCGACAAATTTATTTAAGTACATTTACTAATTATTGCATATTTATTTACCTCTTAAGGGCCATTTGTATAACCCATAACCAGGATAAAGTCCTATGACTACTCTATGGTAAATACTGTACCTCATTAGCATTTGCTACCATTATCTTCACTCCCCAACCATCTGCAGCCCAGCGATCTGCTATTTCCTTTTCTGAACAGATAATAAAATTATCAAAGTAGATATCAGAGCTCATAGACCAAAGCTCTAAACCAAGAGCACGGAAAGAAGTCAGAAGAAATGGATGATCATCTTCAAAATAATCTGGATTAGGAATTTTTCGAGGACTCCAGATTCCCTGGAAAAAATAATAAAGAAAAAATAATTTAAAGACACTTTCAAATAAAATAATCCCATTATAAATGCTATTCAAGAAGTCATTGTTGTGGATGGAGCGCCTGCGTGGCTTAGTTAAGTGTCCAACTATTGATTTTGGCTCAACAGATCATGATCTCAGAGATGGGAGATGAGCTCCATGTTGGGCTCCATGCTGGGCGTGGAGCCTGCTTGAGATTCTCTCTCTCCTTCTCCCTCTGCCCCTTCCGTCTCTCTCTCTCTCAAAAAAAAAAAAAAGAAGAAATCATTGTTGTTGAATGAAATCAGCAGTACTAATTGGAGAAAAAAGAAAGCATTAACTGATATTAACTCATTAGCAAGTCACTGGAAATAAAAACTTGGTTCTTCTCATTCTGTACACAATGTTCCCTATGAATAAAACTGACTTTAAACTGCAAAAATAGGCAAAGTGAAAACCCAACACACACAGAAACTTGAGTAACTAAATTTCACAAGTAAGTGATACTATTTTAGACAAGTTTTTTTACATTTAGTAAAGTTATTCAAGGCAAGAAGTCATTAAAATTACACAAATCAGAGAGAGCACTGTATGGTAAATATGAAGCCATTCCTTTTATTTTTAAAAATTTTTTTTATAATGCACTTTATTTATTTGAGAGAGAGAGAGAGAGAGAGAACATGCACAAGTAGCAGGGAGGGGCAAAGGGAGAGGGCGAAGCAGACTCCTCACTGAGCAGGGAGCCCCATGCAGGGCTCAATACCAGGACCCTGAGATCATGACCTGAGCTGAAGGCAGAGGGGAAGCCACTCCTTTTAACATATACCCATGATGGGCATCAATTATCAGTCATGGCTGAACCTCAGAATAAAATTCAACATAAAAGTTCCATTAGATCTTAAATGATTAAACTCAATCAAATAAATAAAATTTGACAATATGATTACTCATTCATTCCTCCATCATATATGTCTATTCTGTACCAGGCACTATGCCAGATGCTAGGGACAGAGTGATGATCAAGAGAGACATGGTTCCTTGATTAAATTTAAAGTAATGAGGGAGACAGACATTCAACAAAGACGTTACCAAAATAAACACTCTGTGATAAATGCAATGAAAAAAAAAACTAAAGTAAACAATTGGAATACGTAACTGCATCCATATAATAAATATTAGAAAATGTCAATGAATAATTAGATAAAACTACAGGGTTAAATGGATAACCTAGAGATTTCTACCCAAAAATCTAGGTACACTCAAAAGATATCTAATTCATATTTTAAAAAATCCAAAGTTTAATAACACCAGAAAATAAGGAGCACATTAATTCAACACAGGAATTAATTACTAAAATGTACAATGTGAGGTCTCCTGATCAGAACTCATTTCTTATGTTTAATTCTAAAATAGAACTTGATTCCAGAGTGATCATCAATTACCAGGGAAAAATACAGTATTAAGTGTCTCATCTTTAGTTCTTAATATTATTCCCCCAGAAAATTACATAAAGAATACTTTACTATTTTTTTTAAAGTAAACTCTAGGCCCAACGTGGGGCTTGCACTCACAATGCAGAGATCAAAAGTTGCATACTCTATGGACTGAGCCAGCCAGGTGCCCCAAGAATACTTTACTTTTTAAATATAAATTAGTTGGAGTCCATTTTCTTTGACTTCTTACGATAGTTAATGCATACTATTACAAATCAAATTTCTAAAAGTTAACATAACATTATCAAAACTAGAACTATCACAGCACTTTAAACTTTACTATGCAGTTGTAAGAAGTGGTTATTACCTGGTAGTTAGGATTATCTATCATTGGAGGTCTCCACACTCCTTTGTATTTGGGGTTATCTATCAGGGGAGGTGTCCACTCACCACACCCAATTCGACATGCTGGATTAGAAATACGAGGCGCCTCCCATTCTCCATCCATGTCTTCATTCCTTAGGAAATTAGGAAAAAATTCAACATAAAAGTTCCACAGATGAAACTGTGTATCTACACATTTATAGTAACCTCAAGTATAGTAACCTCAAGTTTCTCCTGTCAGTCATATGAACTAGTAACAAAAAGCAAGAAATGTATGAAATTGACATGTGAGGATGAAGAATGTTTACCAGTCATCAGGTTTTTCAGCATTAGGATCTGGAATAAATTTTGGTTCATCATCAAGCCAGCCATCAGGTTTAATAACACTTAAATCTTCTATTTGGGCAGGTTCGCTTTCATCCCTGCAAATACAGTATTTTGTGCCAAGTATTAATTATTCAAAAGGTTTAAAAATGCATATGTTACAAAATTCAGAAGATACCAAAAGGCATCTCCTACCCTTCTGTCTTTGTGCCTACTAACTCCCCCATCTCTCATCCACCAAAATCTTCTGCTAACTTGTCACTTTCTTGTATATATTCCCTGTTGTGATCCATGCATACACACATATTTGTATATATTCTTTTTTTTAAACACAAAGGATAGATTTCTATACAGAGTATGTTCAACATCACTTTTGTTCACTTAAACACTCATTCATTCATCAACAAACACATATTGGAAGCCCACTATGTGCCAAGACAGCTTTATAAGCTGTTTTATATACAGTTATTAACAGTTGTACAGTTTTCTAATTTGTGGATATACCATAATTTATTTAACCCAATTACTGTTGAGGGACATTTAGTGTTTCCAAAAATGTACTATTACAAACAATGCTATAATGAATATCCTGGAATATATTAGGAACTAATACAAAATTATCTCTCTGTCAGCTATATGAATTAAAAATATTTTTTCCAGTTTCTCATGTACTTTTTGATATAGTTTATGGTAGGTGGGTTTTTTTCTGCCATATTCAAATAATTTATTTTCATGTAGTTGAAATTTATTGATAATTCTTTTATGATTCTTCAATTTTACATCATATTTGGAAATGTCTTCCCTATTCCAATATTATTTTTTTAACTCATCATATTTAAGTCTAGTAATTTTGTATTTTCATTAAAAAAATAACACTTAGAAAACAAATTCTTAAGTATATAAACATAATCATAGTAAGTACTGAATAGAACTTCATCTTTATAGAAAAGTAGAAATTTTAAACAAAAGGTTACATTAAGATTTTTCAAACAAACCTAAATAACAAAATAAACTCAAATAATCAACTCTCTATATGTAAAGACTTGTACTTGCCTGATATCAATGTCATCTGGAGTCTGTCTGAGCTCCAAGTAACTAGAGTTTAAAATTTAAGGGAACATTTCTTTTACCAGTTTATGAAACAAATTCTAACATGTATCACCAATCAGAGAGAGGTTATTATAAGCAGTTTATCTCATTTAAGGCCAAACTTATGTCTCAGCCTTACTCTTTTTGGGTAAACAAATATGAAACAATGTAAGAAAATCCACATGGAGAGATGTAGTCCTACCCTTTCTGAAAGTATGAATTCATTAAAGTTATGCATTAAGTGACTTTTTATTAATTTTTTTAAAAATCATACTGTTCTTCCTACCTTGTAAAACCTGCTTCCCTATCATACTATTTGCTTGAAAGCAAAGACATTTTTATTAGTAATCAGTATCTCTCTTTATCTACAAGAGAGTTAACAAGTAAACATCTTTGGTTATCCAGTACTACTTACTCTATTTCTGAGTAGGTAGTAACCCCAATGTTTACAAACAAGCAAGAACTTAAAGAAATAGGAGTAGACATTTTCCAAAATGAAGCAGAGAGAAAAAAATTGATTTTAAAAAATGAATTGATCCTAAGTGACCTGTGAAAAACTATAAAGCAGTTTAACATACATTTATGTGGTGTCCCCAAAAAAGAGATGGGAAGGAACATATATTCAAAGAAATAATGGCCAAATATTACCCAAATTTGATACAAACTACACAGCCACATCCCAAAAAGCTCAAAAGCAAGGCAAACACACACACACACACACACACACACAAATTCTCACACACACACACTCTCACACACACCCAAGGCACAACAAAACCAAATTGTTGAAAACAGTAACAATGAATCTTAAAACCAAACAGGAAAAAATTACATATTAGGTCAAGGAGTAAAAGGATGAGAATAACAACTGACATATCAGAAACGATATAAGCCTCAAGACAACTCAAGAAATGATTGTTTTAGGGGCGCCTGAGGGGCTCAGTCATTAGGCGTCTGCCTTCGGCTCAGGTCATGATCCCAGGGTCCTGGGATCGAGCCCCGCATCGGGCTCCCTGCTCACCGGGGAGCCTGCTTCTCCCTCTCCCACTCCCCCTGCTTGTGTTCCCTCTCTCGCTGTGTCTCTCTCTGTCAAATAAATAAATAAAATCTTTAAAAAAAAAACGATTTTTTTTTTTAAATAACTATCAACTTACAATTCAATGGTGAAAACATCCTTCAAAAATTAAGGTAAAATAAATTTTCAGATAATTAAAAGTTGAGAGGATTCAATGACAGCACACATGTACCACAATGTGTTAAGAGAAGTTTATCAGGAAGAGGGAAAACAACAGACAAAAATGTTTATCTACACAAGAGTATCAGAAACGCTAACTAAATAATAAATAAAAGAAATTTTCTCCTAATAACTGTCTGATTAAAAGACAGTGATGGAAGAATAAATATGTGTGGCCTTCATAGTACAGACAGAGGAAGTAAAGGTATGATAATGCATGAAGGATGGAAGGAGGAAAATATAAGACCCTTATAAGATTAACACAGACATAAAGAGGTATAATGACAGTAGACTGAAATAAGTTAGAGATGCATATTGTAAACCCTAGAGCAACACTAAAATAATAAACCACAGAGGAAAAGGTAGTATGCCAAAAGGAAAGAAAAAATAAAAGACTAAAAAATAAAATAACTCCATCTAAAAAAATTCAGGAAAAAATATTTTCAAGTACAGAATATATGGGACAAACAGAAAGCAAGTAGGAAGAAAACAAGTACAGTTTATATCCAACCATATTAATAATTACATTAAATGTAGATGGTTTAAAACACTCCACTTAAAAAACAAGACCACATATAAGTTGCCTACTGAAAAATCACTTTAAAAATAAAGCTATAGCTGTAATCATCAAGAAGAGTATGGTACTGGCACAAAAACAGACACAGAGATCAATGGAACAGAATAAAGAGCCCAGAAATGGACCCTCAACTCTACGGTCAACTAATTTTCAACAAAGCAGGAAAGAATGTCCAATGGAAAAAAGACAGTCTCTTCAACAAATGGTGTTGGGAAAATTGGACAGCCACACGCAGAAGAATAAAACTGGACCATTTCCTTACACCACACACAAAAATAAACTCAAAATGGATGAAAGACCTAAATGTGAGACAGGAGTCCATCAAAATCCTAGAGGAGAACACAGACAGCAACCTCTTCCACCTCAGCCGCAGCAACTTCTTCCTAGAAACATCGCCAAAGGCAAGGGAAGCAAGGGCAAAAATGAACTATTGGGACTTCATCAAGATAAAAAGCTTTTGCAAAGCAAAGGAAACAGTCAACAAAACCAAAAGACAACTGACAGAATGGGAGAAGATATTTGCAAATGACATATCAGATAAAGGGCCAGTATCCAAAATCTATAAAGAATTTGTCAAACTCAACACCCAAAGAACAAATCATCCAATCAAGAAATGAGCAGAAGACATGAACATTTTTCCAAAGAAGACATCCAAATGGCCCATGAAAAAGTGCTCAATATCGCTCAGCATCAGGGAAATCCCAATCAAAATCTCAATGAGATACCACCTCACACCAGTCAGAATGGCTAAAATTAACAAGTCAGGAAAACGACAGATGTTGGCGAGGATGCAGAGAAAGGGGAACCCTTCTACACTGTGGGTGGGGAATGCAAGCTGGTGCAGCCACTCTGGAAAACAGTATAGAGGTTCCTCAAAAAGTTGAAAATAGAGCTACCACACCACCCAGCAATTGCACTACTGGGTATTTACCCCAAAGATACAAATGTAGGGATCCGAAGGGGTACATGCACCCCAATGTTTATAGCAGCAGTGTCCACAATAGCCAAACTGTGGAAAGAGCCAAGATGTCCATCAACAGATGGATAAAGAAGATGTGGTATATATATACAAATATATATATACAATGGAATAGCCATCAAAAAACCCGAAATCTTGCCATTTGCAACAACGTGGATGGAACTAGAGGGTATTATGCTAAGCAAAATAAGGCAATCAGAGAAAGACATGTATCATATGATATCACTGATATGAGGAATTCTTAATCTCAGGAAACAAACTGAGGGTTGCTGGAGTGGTGGGGGGGTGGGAGGGATGGGGTGGCTGGGTGATAGACATTGGGGAGGGTACTGCTATGGTGAGCGCTGTGAATTGTGTAAGACTGATGAGTCACAGACTTGTACCTCTGAAACAAATAATACATTACATGTTAAAAAAAAAGATAGTAGGAAGGGAAAAATGAAGGAGGGGAAATCGGAGGGAGAGACGAACCATGAGAGACTATGGACTCTGAGAAACAAACTGAGGGTTCTAGAGGGGAGGGGGGTGGGGGGATGGGTTAGCCTGGTGATGGGTATTAAAGAGGGCATGTATTGAATGGAGCACTGGGTGTTATATGCAAACAATGAATCATGGAACACTACATCAAAAACTAATGATGTAATGTATAGTGATTAACATAACATAATAAAATAAAATTTAAAAAAATAAAGGCATATATAGGTTACAGGTAAACAATGGAAAATAATATTCAATGGAAACATGATTTAAAAGAAAGCAGGACTGTTGACTCAGTATGAGACTAAAGCAGATGTCAAGACAGAGTATTACAAGAGTTTATAAAGAAGGATATTATTCTATAATAATAAAGTGATTAGTTCCTCAAGAGGTCATGAAATACTGCAAAAAGATGTAGTAACAGATCTTCAAAATACACGAAGCAAAAACTAACAGAACTCAAAGGATATATAGACAAATCCATCACCATAGTTAAAGATTTTAATATTCTTCTCTCAGTAAGAAAACAGACTGAAAACCAGTAAATTATAGAAGCTTTCAACCACACTGATGTAATTGACATTTGCAAATTTTCTGACAATAGAATTAAAAATTGGGAGTCAAAATGCGAATTATATCTGGGAAATCCCAAATAAATGCTACCAAAGCAACACATGTAAAAACACACAGATCAAAGAAAAAATTACTAATGAAATTAGAAAACAGTATGAACTGAATGTTC